GGCAAAGGAGAAGTGCTCACTAACACAGATTTAGACAGATTTGTGAACAATATTTGAGAGAAATAGGCCTTTTGTGTACATAGAAAAAGTCTTAGATCTTTGAGTTCAGCTCATGAAAAATGGGGGCAAAAACAAAAGTGTTGCGTTTATAATTTTGTTCAGTGTAGATAGATAGATAGATAGATAGATAGAAATTTGGATGACTAGTAACTTCCTACTACTAAATTTAAAAAAAAATATTAGATTTTAATTATTGGACCAAAAACCTCCACACATAATAACCTAGAACTGTGCTGAACATTTGATGCATGTCTGTCAAGTCTTTGTCATCAGTCAAGAACCTGGGTGTGTTTTTATATAGCAATTTGTCATTTGAAAGCCACATTTCTAACATTTGCAAAACTGTTTTTCCATCTGAAAAAAATCTATAAATTATGATATATGCTCTCAATGTCAAATGTAAAAATGATAATTCATGCATTTATGACCAGTGACAGCTTTTGTACCTTTTTTTCTGAGTGTGGGTATATGTGAACATGCATATGTGTGATAGATTTCTTTCAAGAATGTGTGTGTGTGTGTGTGTGTGTGTGTGTGTGTGTGTGTGTGTGTGTGTGGGGGTGTGTGTGAGAAACACATTTAAGCAAGTGTGTGTGTGTGTGTGTGTTTGTGTGTGTGTGTGAGTGTGCTCTCATTGGCTGATAAGAACTGGAGGAAATGAATAATGGGTGTGGATAAAGAGAGAGAGAGCCAGGGAAGGAGGGGTGAAGACAAATGTAACTGTCTCTGTTGCTCTGCCACAGTGTGTTACAGAACAACAACAAATCCACACCGTTCTGCACATCTTGTGGATTCTCCTCTATCATGCAGGTGTACATAGCTGAGACAGACTTATCAGAAAATACAAAAGAGTGGAAGTTGGTTTCACTGTATGCACTGACAAGGAAGTATATTTGTTTGTTTTTTCAACATACATCCACTGGACTCCAAAAGCTGGCTGAGGAAGTATACAGTGAGGAGTCATCTTTTGGGGGACGTCTATTTTAGGATGCATGTTCCTCACATTTTCCCTGGCCACCTTTTCCCTGGGATGTAGTGAGGATTGATGGTTCATACAGGCTTTTCCCCTAAACATCTGCTGACTCTGGAAACCTGGCATCATGCCAGTGATGAAGGGGCTGCTGGCACCCCAGAACACCTTCCTGGACACCATCGCCACTCGTTTCGATGGCACTCGTAAGTACTGGCACAAATGCACACACACCAAATCCACATGAGAAAGAACTCTTAAGATGAAAATGTGCAGTTTTCAAGGTAGCCTGAAGGTGAAGGTTTTTTCCTTTCTATAGCATCACAAGCACTAAATGGATGTACAAAAATAATGGCTTATCTCAAACAAATTCCTTGAAAACTCTGTCTTAAACAAACTTTCTGTTGTTATAGAGTCTTGCTAAGCTATACTATAACAAGCCAGTTAAACTATAGACATGTTTATTGCAGCTACCTGAATTATAACACATCTGGGTTTGATACTACCATGGTAGCGTGAAAGCAGACATTAAGTACATCTGATGAGACTGTGCGCTTTGAATCTGCATGTATGTACTTGTATGTTTCTGGCATAAAAAGTCACTTACCTGATATGAGCATTGAAAATTAATATTAATATTAATATTAATATTAAATACCGATATTAAATAACTCTCTGTGTTCCCAAGCTCAAACAGCATGATGCTAGCAATGCCACAGTCATGGATTATGTCCCAAGAGATTGCATGAACTGACCAAACTGAATATATTTTTTCACCATATTTAATAACTTACAGCTAACCAAAAAAAAATAAAAATTTAATTGTAGCATTTTCTGTTAAAAGATATAGGTTACATTTTTACAATATTGTGGGATGGCTGGATCAATTAGTGATTTTACTGTTTATTCAACAGCTAAATGAAAGCATATCATAAGCTTCAAAGTGAAAATAATTAACTGTGTTAAATAGTTGTGTCATAAATTAATCAACAATGCTGGGGTACATCTACATCTGTACTGTATTTCTGTACTACTATTATACATTATACTGATTACTGTACAATGTAAATATGTATATGTGTGCTGTATCCTGTCCTGCAGGTTAATACATGTAGTGCACAGACACCACATACACTTGTGTGTTTGTTCCTGTTTTATCATGGGAGATAAATCTCTTGTTTTGTTGTAGCAATAGTGCTCTCGTGGCATAAGTCTTCGCGGTAAGTGTGTGTGTGTGTGTGTGTGTGTGTGTGTGTGTCATGGGAAAAGTGACAAAGGGACAAAGCTGTTTGTGTTCATGTAATCCTTTTACCTTGACATAAAAAGAACCTTCTCAAGCCACTATAGTTAAAAGGCTGGATAAGAGGTTATAATTTTCAGTCATAATAATAAAACCAAGAACTGAATTGCGCTATATTGCATTGAAAATATCTATGTCTAATGACACAATTCAACAATGTGACAGTTTCACACAATTCAACATGACACGAATCTCAAGAAATTTCGTAACAATAGTCTTACTTAAAACAAAGGCAGCCATGCAACATATATACAAAAACTAGAATACAATCCTCCCATCTGTGCTTTCTTACTAGTAATGAAAAGAAAATCCTTCACACAGCTTACAAACATAATCTCTTCTGTTAGATAACATCTCTCACACACACACACAACAGCATGCACATTCACAGCTTCTTATTTAACAGTATGCTATCTTACAAGATATACATGACCCAAAGACATAACTAATAAAACTACACATTTATAAAACATAATCAATGAGCATTATATATTTATACAGTATATATATATATATATATAAATCACTGAATGCCATTGCTACGAAACTGCTCACTCAACCTCAGTGCTTAATGCTGTTTTTTTTTTAATGTGATGACATGAAAATGCTGGTAAAAAGTGAACCTTTGACTTGTTGGTGGCGCTGAAGGGTTTGAGATAGAAGATAGGGTTTGAGAAGTGGCTATCAGGAGTGTTTCTATGAGTGTGCCAAATTTCACAACTTTTTACTTTTTATTGGCTGCCATTCATTACATTATGTTTTCTTTTGCCATTATGAGAAAGGAAATGTTAATGATGTCTTAATAGGTCTTTATTTCTTAAAACAGTTTAAGATTAACAATTTAGAGACAGTGGTGTGTCAGTGATGTTAACTTCTCTGAGAGACAGGATCTTTCCTCGCAGTGCTGATGGGTAACAGAGCACCAGTGTACTCACAACCCAAAATAGCTGCCCTCTTGTTGCCGTAGAGACCAGCTTTCCTGTGCAGTAGTTGCAGTGATAAGCTTTCTTGTGCAGTAGTCGCAGTGATGAGCAGTGATGAAACTGAGCTTTTGGTATGATTTACTGAAAGAACTTTGGAATATCTATGCAGAAAACATGAATTACTATGATTGATTACAGTTAAATGCTGATCATTTTACTTATATTGTTTATAACCTTTAATTTTGTAAGCCCATATAATGTAGATCAGGGCTAGTTGTCACACGGTTTTACTATAAAATAGTTTTGGCTGATGCAATATGACCCTAGTGATTGTGACTAGACCTCAAAGGACTCCCTCATCATGAAAGGTAGTAAGCCCTTTGACATTCAGGTTTTCATTTCTAAGGTTGCTCACCAAAATCTAAACGAGTCTTTAATGTTACAGAATACTTCACCCAACTCTGATCCAGCTCTTCAAGCCCTTCATTTAACAGTGACGTAACATGTGGCACTGTTGAAAGAAGAACAACAACTACAGCTGCTAAATTTCTGGAAGGAAAATAAGGAAATGTACTGTATGCAACACATCTACGGTACTCAATCTCTCAACATGATGACAACCCAACTGCCTTCTCGCCTGAGATATCATTACCTTAAAGTTTGCTTTCACCATTTCCCTACTCACTTCAGTCGAGAGATTGGGCCACTACAGTTTGAGGAAACAAGGCTGAGCTTTGTACTGTAGGGATTACAGCACTTCTGTGAAGTTTTTTTGAATAACTAAGTAATCCATGGTAATCAGTCTTTGAGCAACCGAATGGCAACAATGTAAACAAGACAAATTATGTTTCTACTCAAAGTGTGATCACAAGTTAGCCACATACAACAGCGACAGGGATTTTCAATTCTGGTTCGTTAGGAGAGTGCTCCATGAACTGAACTGAGTGTTTTAGAAAAAGCTCACAAAATGTGGGTCCCTAGGACCAGGATTGAAAACCACGGCCAGTTTGTGTCCCTACCCTAATATCCTCCACTACCCAGACCCTACTAAACCTTTCATTTTCGAAGTGAATGCATCAGATATAGGGTTCAAGCTGTTCTTTCACAAAGACAAGATGATTCAACAAATCTTTACTTGTGTTTTCTAGTCTCATATGTTATCCCCTGACAAGCTGAAATATCATGTCAGAAATAAGAAGCTACACAGTGATCTGCTTTTTGTCCTTGTTGACTGTCCACTTGACTCTTCATACCCAAGGACCTATGGAACACAGAAATCCAACAGATTCACACTGCTATAACACCCCCAAATTATTTTGGACTGGGTAGCTATAAGTTAACTCATACTTCATCTTTGGTGTAGTGTATACAGGTGTTGTGTATACAAAAAGTATAAATTATATTCAAAAAGTATATTTTTATCAAAGTATACAAAAAGAAACAACTTACAGAATATTTCACTGTGCACTGCAATTATTAAACTAATACCGGAAATACGCCACGAGACATGGAGTCAAGTGCAGAAACTGCAAAGTGTGGGTATTGATTTGGAAATTATGAATCAGTACAGCAACAATACTGCACAAAACACAATACTTACAACTAGCTTTAGAATGTCTTTCACAATATTAATAATCCTGATCTCTCTTCTGTCCCACAGACAGCAACTTCCTCCTTGGGAATGCTCAGGGTAACCGTGGCTATCCCATTGTGTACTGTTCCGATGGATTCTGTGAGTTGACGGGGTTCGGACGAACAGAGGTGATGCAGAAGAACTGCAGCTGTCATTTCCTATATGGCTCAGGCACGAGTGAGCAGGTTACTCAGGGTGTGGAGAAAGCACTGGAGAGCAAGGAAGAGTACCAGGCTGAGGTGCAGTTCTACAAGAAGAACGGTAATAATACTCTACTACTCTAGGACTCTTATCATACATTACTTGTACTACAAGCGGCTGAGAGAAGTGATTTAACAGCCAATTTAATACAGTGGCCCCAAAAAAATTCTGGTGTAGACTGAGGAATTTCCTAGAGCTGAGTTCCCTTACATCAGTGGCTCTCAATTCTCAAAATTGCCACACTGCTCTGCATACAAATAAGAGCTCTCTTCTAGTCAATGATCTAAATGAGGTGTGTTAGATAAGAGGGACATACAAAATGTCTAATGTCGAAGGTCGAATGTAATTGGGAACCACTGCCCTACTTCATATAGCAAAGCAAAGCACCGTACTGCATTTTACTGTAGTGTCTGTGCTATAACATAGATTTGCAATTGCTGTTGTTGTAACTACTTATTATTGTAATTTGAAATGGAAATTGATTCCAGATTGAAGAACTCTGTGAGATGCTGTTTTCCTGTTTACTATACCGTAAAGCTGCTTTGAAGCAATCTGTATTGTATAAATAAACCTGACTTGACTTAATTTTTACATTTTCTGAATAAATTATGAGTAGTGTTAGCTAATCTTGTCACTACAATGGGTGTTTGCCCTGGCATTGCTATGCAGTTGCTGTAGTATTTTAGGCCTTTTCCATTATAGCAATGATAAGTAAGGTTTATTTGTATAGCATTTTTAACAATACACATTATTTCAAAACAGCTTTACAGATTGGATTATTATATTGTGATATGTATCATATTATTCGGGTAAAGTGGGCCAGCTGATCTGGTATCTCTGATTTATCAATAAAATAAAGCCTTCTGAAGCGAATCGATGCGCTATCAAAAATATACATATTTAAAACTTTATAAACCATATAAATCTCTAGCTTCCACTAACTGGTACGCAGCTAACTGGTTTTTATGTATTCTTTGCATTTTAATCCATGTTAACTGTAGTAACAAATAATACAGGTACTGTCACAATAATGTTTGTTTACATTTAGTGAGCAACATTATAACTTAGAAATGAAAAACTGAATGTCCAAAGGGCTTACTGACTTTTATGATGAGGAAGTCTTCCTTTGAGGTGAAGCCACAATCACTAAGGTTCTATTGCATCAATCAAAACAATTTTATTAATCAAAAATGTATTTGAAAAATTATTAATTAAAAAAAAACAGTATTCCATAATTCTTTAGCTCTTTAGTCCCCCAGTGAGCAAGGCAGAGGTGATTGTGGTGAAAAATATGGTGACTACGGGGAGAAAAAAAAACATGAGAGAAACCAGGCTACAATGGGGGGGGTCAGTCAAGCATAATGTCAAACTTAGCTAGATATGTTACTAATTATATTTGGACTGCAAAAGTTATGTGTCTTTGAGGTATGCACTGAATTTACAGATGAGGTAGCCATAGGTTTAGTGACAGTGTGGGAGTGACAGGTAGCCAATGTCATATTTCTTCGTTCTTACAAGCACTCTACCTGCTGAATTCTGAACCAGCTGGAGCTTATTTATAGAGCCTGCAGGACATCCACTCAATAAAGCATTAGAATAGTGTTGAGGTCATAAACGCATCAATAATTTTTCAGCATTAAAAAGAGCATATGGCCATAGCTGGGTAATGTAATCACTTTTAAGGTGAAAGAAGGCTGTTCTGCAAACACTGGGAATGTAATTAATTTGATGATTCGTTCATCATCAAAAGACAGATTGATATTAAACATAAACCCCAGGTCCTTAACCTGTAGTAGACTATGTAACAAAACCATGATTGAGCAACAAATTATATTCTAACAGCTCATGTTTGGAAGTGTTTGGTCCAATAATTAAAACCTCTGTTTTTTAGAATTAAAAAGAAAGAAATTACTAGCCTTCCAACATCAGTTATCTCTAATACACTCTGCTAATTTGGAAAATTGAGGAGTTTTGTCAAGTCATGAGGAAATATAAAACAGAGTGTCATCTGCATAACAGTGAACAAATGTGTCACACAAAATCTTCTCACACAAACAAGGAATGCAATAATCACATCCTTTTTTGACATTTAGAGTATAATACTGAATAGTTAAAAAACAAGAAATTATAAATTGGTAGATTCCAGATATCATTTAGATTTCACAAAAAAAAAAAAAAGGACTATCCATTCATTCTCTAAGCTGCTTTACCTCTGGGTCGCAGCTTGCAGGGATGCTGGAGTCAGGCCGGAGGCAAGGGAAACATTCTGTCTAGACAGATGTTTATTGAAATATTTCTTCCACGTAAACTCCAAGTTTTCCATTTCTCACTCCCCACACAGCTGAGAGACCTGCACAGAGAGAGAGAGAAAGAAAACACAGACACTCAAAAAACCTGCTCCTCGCTCCAATCAAAGTCACTGCCCACACCGCACCACTCACGCTCACCTGGAACGACGTGAACACAGTCAAACAGAGTGACACAAACAGTGAAATCAAGTGCTGTTAACTTTTAAATTAGCACTGCAAGAAGCAATGCTTGGCCAATTACAATGTAGGAATGATTATTGTTTGAGGAATGATTATTACTGTTATTCAGGTGTTTTATTCCAACAATTTTTTGTTCTTTTTTTTTTTTTTCTTAAAAAGGTCTTGAGTGTAGAACAATACTTTGCATTCATTATTCTGGTGCTAATTTAGAAAGTTTTACTCATTATTAAATACATTTGTGTGGGGTTATTTGAATGGTGCACACTCACATGAGATAATAGTTTTCTATACAAAAAAAAACAACATTTTATTTATGTATGGTGCAGGTTTATTTTTCCATGTTTTTGACATGACCGGTGGTGTTTCATTAATCATTGGAGAGAATCCTCTGTAGAAACGGTAGTAGCATAGTGTTTAGCGATGTGAATAACAGAAAGAGAATGGAACACACTTATTATTGTGCTTTACCAGCAGAGACAGTATGTTCAAAGAACACTAGATTGTAATCAGAACCTAAAGCAGAGAATTTAAATTGCCACAGACAGATCTGGCTATCAAAATAAAATAGGCTGTAAAAAAAAAAAGACTCTAACCCATGAAAAGACACTTCAACCTGATGTGAAACAAGATCAAATTCAATCCTGACCAGACCCCAGAGTGGGCAATAACAACACTAAAAAACATGTTTAAAATGGTCAGCTCTTTTAGCAGTGTAAAGGCTGCTGGTTACCAGAGCTATCATGTAGTGATTATTTTCACCAACAGAGAGGGCTGCGAGGTATACTGGTTATTTGGTTGTGCGTGCTACTTGATGAAGAACCTGGACGAGAGCATCAATTATCAAACGAGACACCATTTTCTGTTTTAAGGTAGTCACATAATAACTATTCAAGTTAGGTTAATGTAATACTGTTTGTAACAGGGCCTAAAAAGAGTGCGGAATTGTTTTGTACACAATTTTGAATCTGAACTCTCGCACATTCACAGAAAACAGATTACTTCCTCTTTGTAAAATAAGATGGATGGTAACTGTGTGAAATTACAGCCCAAGCTAAACAGATTAAAATAATAACAATAATAATCAACTAAACAATTACACTTGCAACAATTATGCAGAAAGCACATACTTTGTGTTTAAAATTAGCCAAAGGTCCATTTCTAAATTCACAACATTTAAAAAAGTTTAAAAAGTTGTAATTACTCTACAGTGTGTTTACAGTTTGTGAAAACTATAATTATTTAATTGTTTATTTAATATAATATTGATATGGAACCCACAACCATTTAAAAAATATATATTGTCCCTGTTTTTAAATTTATAGATAACATCAAGTGAGATTTCAATGATATTTTAGCTGTTGAACTAGGAAAATGTCCCCAGTTTCCATTTCAGAAATCTGGTCACCTTAGTAATAGTGTAATAATAACTAATAGTGAACAAGCTGTAAGTTTAATTGCTTCAAAATCACCCCCCCCCCACTACAAATGTAACTCTTCTGTAGTGAAATTGTTTGATTGATAAAGTCGGAAAGTAGATATTTTTATGATGTAGTAACTGTTTTATGTCTGTGTGTAATTCTGCAACTCTATTCGGTGTGTTATCACAGGAAGTTCATTCTGGTGTCTGTTGGACACCGTGCCCATTAAGAATGAAAAGGGGGAGATGGTGCTTTTTCTGTTTTCATTCAAGGATATCACAGAAGCAAAAGACAAGAGTCAACACAGCAGCAGAACTGATGGTACTGTCTACACTACAAACATTAGTCTCACTAGTTTTTTTTTCAATTTGGGAAAATAAATAGCCTAGCCACTTATCTTTGGTTGTTGACATTTGATAAGAAATAGCATGTTTGGAGCCTAGAGAGCGCATGTACTATAGAACGAAGATTCAGTAAGATATACTGAAATATAGCCCTTAGGGAAGCCTTACTTTTTAAGTGACCGAGCAGTAAGAGGAACTTCCAGAAAAAGGATTATATCTTTTAGATAGAAGCTAAACTATTTTAGTGTGAAAGCCAACATCACATGCCAAATGGGGTAAAGGGATAGTTTAATCTTCACGGGCATTGGGAGTTGCATCTACAATACACATAACTGTTAAAACACACAGACACTCTGGTGCAGTCATACAGTTAGACCATTTTAAATGTTTATGATTTGTAAACTGTCAAGGCTGTTAATGCTATTTTCATTTTGTGCAGATAATAAGCCATACAAAAGGACCACCGGAAATTCTCATTTCAGTAAAGCCAGAAGGAGGGGTCATACCATGATTTACCAGCTAACCAGCCAGTTTACCCGTGACAGCAAAAATGATGTCAGCTTAAGCCGAGTGAGTAAATGTATAAACTACGTACTAAAACTGTAAAAGTCCATTAAAACATGTTTTGTAGTAATAATTTCAGTAACACTTTATTTTGATGGTCCCTTTTGAACATTCTGTTGACAATAAGTAATGTTGCACCTACATGTCTACTAACTCTCATCAGAGTATTAGTAGACTGTTTGCTTAATATCTGTTAACTCTTTATTGTCATGGTCTCCCAACAGATATTCTACTGACTTTAAGTAACTTTGCAAGTACAGTGCATGTCAACTTATTCTAACCCTAACCCTACCAGTCTACTAATACTCTACTAATACTCTAATGAGAGTTAGTAGACATGTAAGTGCAACGTTATTTATGGTCAACAGAATATGTTAAAGGGACCATCAAAATAAAGTGAAACCATGGTTTCTCGTGGTCAGTTCTTAAAAGTTATCAAATATTTGATGGCATCTTAGGGACATTTTGACATCTTTTTAAACAAATCTTCTTGTGACCGTATGGATATATGAAAACATATGTAGATGTTTTTGATTTATCAATACGTCATATCGGTAGTCCTTTGATGCATCTATCCTTTGATGTTTCATTACACTGCTAATAAAAAACTATACGTTAGCAGTTGCCTGTACAATTATGTTTTTATTGATTTGTAATTCCTAGAAAGAGGACATTGGTCAGTGCTTTTTAAATTGAAGCCTGTTTGTAACATTTTACAATTTTACAATGCATTGAGAGCAAAAATTACATTATCAAGTTATTTACGGTATCAGTTTTAGAGTACACTTGACAAAAAGTTTCTATGGTTCTTGAATGTATGCAATGCACTGCCATGATGCTGACACTGATATGTAGTTGTTAGGGTTTTCTAGGTGCAGGACGAGTTGCACAGTTACTGCTGGGGTTTGCTCAAATCACCAACACTACAAAAGAGCGATGGTAATAGTGATGCTTGTCTTCTTCATGCTTGTCACTAGAAGTGTTTTATATCCATAAAAATAAATTTACTTTCCTCATATCCAGACAACCTCAGTTCTAATAATTTTGTTCTACTTGTCCGTTCTTTTCTTTTTTCCTCCTGAAATAATCTGTCCACTATGACCTATTACCATTTCTTTTTTTATCATGGGATTGTGAGTTACAGTTACTGTAAAGCATAGGATCTGTGCAGGATCCCATTTTCCGGTGACCATTTGATTCAGGAAATGTTCAAACAGTGTGAAAGGTGCAGGCCAGAAGTATAAAGAATGTGTAATCCTCCATGTCACATGGCCACGGCAGAACAGGAGGCCAGATTGGCAGGTCACATTTCCGATCGCTCCTGTAAACAGATGGTCATGTTTTCAGCACAACTTCACTCTCAGCAGAGCCACCTGCCTTCACTCCATCACACTCCAACTGACTGAAAGAAAAATAGGAAACAAGAGCATCACAGCAGGGCACAACTTTAAAGTTTTTTTTTTATTTCAGTAGTTCAGATTTGAATGTGTCCTACACATATTTTCACTTGCTCCATCACAAAAAAATGTATGTAATTTGTAATAATTCATAATTTACTGTAATAGCTGTAAATTCTATAGCTAAAATGTTACTCCAAGACAGCTGTAAATTCTTAAACATTTCACACTTTTGATGGTTTATGGCTGTGCACATGCTCAGGACATACTGTTTTAGAGATGCTGCTTATGGGGGGTCTGTCACGATGCACACACACGAGGGACGAGGAGACGCTGGAGAATATGTTGACAGGACTTTATTTGCATGAACCAAGGAACCAAGGGAGACGAACACAGGAAGACGTTCACAGCGGACAGAGAACTTGGGACTGGGAACACTTTTTATACACACACACAGGAGGAGGGGATGACGACACACACCTGGGAGCAATGAAACATCAAGGGAAACACCTGGGACAAATGAACTAAACTAATCAGGACA